TGAGGCGCCCGCGCAGGTAGTTCTCGGGCAGGTGCATCTTGTAGCTGTAGGGCATGCAGTGCGAGCGGTCGCACACCGGGCAGATGAGGATGAAGAAGTTCTCGGTGACCTCGGCGTGCTTTTGCAGATGCCGCAGGCACTTCTCGCACAGGCTGTGGTGGCAAGGCAGCATAAACGAGTGCAGGCGCAGTCTGTGGCACATGGGGCAGGTGAGATGGTCGACCAGATGGCTGCTGGCTGGCATGGACTTCACTTCATCGACCTGAGTATCGCTGCTCCCGATCCGCAGAGCAGTCTTGGAGCTGGAAGGAAAAGCAGACAGAGGCCATCAGGAAGCAGGCTCAAGAGCTACCTCGATTCTGCACCTCTGAGAGAACTCCTGGTCACTGAGAGGCCACCCAGTGTGGTGGAGAGGGGGTGGGACAGGGACCCGAGGGCCTGGGTTCTCAATCTGCGGCCACCTTCTTTCAGCTGGGTGACCTCAGGTAATTAGTTAACCTCTCTCCACCTGTTTCCCCTTATAAAATTAGTGCCCATATCATAGAGTTTCTTGAGAAAGTTAAAATTGGATTTAATCCACAAGGACTGAGAGTGGTTCCTGGAACATGGTGAGTTCTCCACAACAGCTTGTTGTTGGTTTTGAGCAAGAGAAAAGTGGCAGAAACTGGACTGGCACTACCAGCTGGGCCTTGGTGTTCTTCTGGGTATCAATAATATCACAAAACACCCCATCAGACAAGGCCATTCCACTCCTGGGATGGATCAAAGCAGAAACAAGACCACTGCATAATGTCTGAACTCACACAAGAACATCATACAAACCACAAAATTGACCAAACATTCCCCCATCCCAGCCAGTGGAAGTGACTGACTCTTACTGATGCTTTTTTTTCCCCCCACCATTTGCAGCTTTACGTTCACTCTGTCCTTCTGCTTTCTAGTTAGGATTTATTAAGGTACCCAAAAGAAGATTTATCCCCATGTCTTCACCTAATATGATCCCCAATCCTATAATAAGTTACCAATGCCTACCTACCAAGGTACCTCACACTTGCTATAGTATATGTTCTCACTTGTTGCAATGAGTCAATAAATCCAATCTTGTCCAACTACGGTGTATTCTTGGTGGTGTTTGTCTGGGAGGCATTGACATTATTATTATTATTATTATTATTGTACATAGGACAAAACACAGGGGAGGGTGGGTAAGTGTCCTTCCAGGACACTAGGAGGTCAATACCTGAGCCAAGCCTAAAACCTGTGTTGTCTGACTACTAGACCCACAGGTAATGGTTGAGGGTCTGGGCTGTAGGGGCAGACTGCATACGATGGAGTTGCACCTTTGAAATGAGTGTTTCTTAACCTGTCCCATCCTGTTTCCTTATCTGTAAATCAAAGCTCACCATGTTACTTTCTTCATGAGGTTTCTATTAATTCTAAATGAGATAATCCATTGTAAGTGGCTAACTTCTGGTACGTAGTAAGCATTCAATAAATGTGTCCACTATGAGGGTACTTCAGAAAGTTCCTGGAAAGATTTGTATTATCTTTTAATTCTGTTTTTCCATGAACTTTTTGAAGTACCTTCATATAACTACTCTTGAAAATAGTGGTCAAATCCATGAAGAGTATGTTTCTACTGTTGTGTGTGTGTGTGTGTGTTAAGATTCTCTATTTGTATAATGTTGGAGACTGATTTCACATATTTAATTGTAAGAACTATGGATGATGTAAAAGCATGCTTACAAATTCAAGTGTATGTTCTAGGAAGTTACAATTAGAGCAAAGGCAGTTATGAAAATAATGAATTAGCTGTGGGAATGGAGATGTAACAGACACAATTTGTGGCTGTTCTTATCTCTTCTTCTTTGTTCACATTAGTAATGTTTGGGTATTGATCTTGCCATTGTGGCTGTGTTCCCTTCTGCTTTTGCCTCCTTGTATTCTCTATATGACCTTGTCTCCTTCCCACTTCTCTAGCCAGGGATCTATGTCTCAGAGCCCAGACATCAAAGGTGCTTCCCAAACATGCTGGAATGGAGTGGCCCTGTGGTGACAGAGAGGGCCCCTTGTGTACACTCTGGCCCTTAGGGATTTGGATGCTGGACTTCAGGTCTGCCAGCCTCAGTGTTCTCAGCTCTGCTTCTCAATCTCCTGCTCGTGCCCTGAAGGGTGTCACCTGAAGACACAGGTCAGTTGTACACGTGGCAGCTGGATGGACTTCTTTAGTTTGATAGAAAGGTAGGATTCTGAGAATCAAGGTATAACATAAGAGGAGACAGCATAAGAAAGTCAGAAAGAGGAAGGGGAGGAGCTACTGAGGAAAGAGAAAGAGAGTGCAGGGCTGAGAGAGGGTTGTCCATGGCCCAGGGAGCTGCAGTCGAGGTGAACAAGGAAGTGAGACACAGTAAGGCAGAGAGAAGTGAATGAGAGCAGGGTAAGGTGGGACCAGCCTGCTGCTGAGCAGGAGGTGATGATGAGGAGCCAGGGCGGCACCGGGTCAGGACCCAGGACAGAGGCCAGGTGGAAGACGAGTGCAAGTGTACTCAG